TGTGGCATTGACCATCTGTTTCCAACTCTTCCTTCCTTCCTTCCTTCCTTCCTTCCTTCCTTCCTTCCTTCCTTCCTTCCTTCCTTCCCTCCCTCCCTCCCTCCTTCCCTCCCTCCCTCCTTCCCTCTCTCTCTGTCTCTCCTCTCTCTCTCTCTCTCTTTTTCTTTCATTCTTGGTCTTGCTCTGTTGCCCAGGTTGGAGTGCAGTGGTACAATCATAGCTCACTGCAGCCTCGACCTCCTGGCCCCAAGTGATCCCTTCACCTTAGCCTCTAGAGCATGTGAGACCATAGGCATACACCACCACACCCAATTAATTTTTAATTGAGATGAGGTCTCACTATGTTGCCCAGGCTGGTCTTGTTGAATTCTTGGCCTCAAGCAATCCTCTCTCCTTAGCCTCCTGAGTCATAGGGATTACAGGTGTGAGTCACCATCCTTGTCCTCTTATTGGTAGGATTCAATGTGACATTGTGTTGGTCGTCTGTGATCTGCTTGTCCAACATCCCTCCCATATTCCTTTATTTATTTATTTTTTTTTGAGATAGAGTCTCACTCTGTTGCCCAGGCTGAAGTGCAATGGCATAATCTCTCGTCACTGCAACCTCCACCTCCTGGGTTCAAGTGATTCTCCTGCCTCAGCTTCCCAAGTAGCTGGGATTACAGGTGCTCACCTGTAATGGTGAGCTAATTTATTGTATTTTTAGTAGATATGGGGTTTCACTATGTTGGCCAGGTTGGTCCTGAACTCCTGACCTTGTGATCCACCCACCTCAGCCTCCCAAAATGCTGGGATTACAGGAGTGAGCCACCGCACCCAGCCTCCTTCAATATTCTTTTGCCACTATCCTTCCATTTTTTTTTTTTGGGAGGACTATTCTCCCGTTTCTAGTCCATGTGATTTGGGAAAGGCTGAACCTCCCTGGGCAATCAGATCAGCATGGTAATTAAATCAGAAATGGGCATGTGACCCAACCTAGGCCCATGAAAGTCATCCCTGCACTATTACTGAAACTGCTGAAAATGAAGTGCTTTCTTTTCATTGGGATAGCTACTTGCAAGGCAGCAAGTAACACGGAATTTCTGGGACCATCTTTGCTCCTCTCTTGAAAGAGCCTGCCTGAAAAACGGAGCCAACACAGAAGACATGAAGGAACAGAATGAGTCTTGGTTGATATTAGCTGACCCCTGATCCCATGGAGCCAGAAGCCATCTACTCATGAACATTTTTAGTTATGAGTGCCAAATAATTTGCTGCCTTGCTGGATTGAGTTAGGTTTCAGTCACTTGCCGTAAAGAGAGTCCTGCCTCATATCCCTTCGTTTTAGGCTTAGGTCCCATCTCCTAGAGCTTTAGTACTATAAAAAGAATAAAGTGAACCCAGGCAGTGCTGAGCTATCCAGTCTCCTGGCTAAGTGTGCAGAGAACCCTGGAATTACTACGACCCTGGTCTGATAAGTAGCCTTGCCTGCTGCTTACCATGCAGCCATAGGGGTATTGCTTCCCTGAGCCTTGAGGCACTATACCTCTTTTTAAAAATAATCTTTAGGGCCAGGCATGGTGGCTCACGCCTGTAATCCCAGCCCTTTGGAAGGCTGAGGTAGGTGGATCACCTGAGGTCAGGAGTTCAATATCAACCTGGCCAACATGGTGAAACCCTGTCTCTACTAAAAATACAAAAATTTGCTGGGCCTGGTGGTGGGCACCTGTAGTCCCAGCTACTTGGGAGGCTGAGGAAGGAGAATTGCTTGAACCCAGGAGGTGGAGGTTGCAGTGAGCTGAGATTGCGACACTGCACTCCAGCCTGGTGACAGAGTGAGACATTGTCTCCAAAAAAAAAGATTTTTATTTAGGTCAGATGTGGTGGCACATGCCTGTAATCCCAGGACTTTGGGAGGCCAAGGCAGGCAGATTACTTGAGGTCCGGAGTTTGAGACTAGCCTGGCCAACATGGCAAAACTCTGTCTCTACTAAAAATATAAAATTAGCTGGGTGTGGTGCCTTACTCCTGTAATGTTAGCTACTTGGGAGGCTGAGGCATGACAATCACTTGAGCCTCGGAAGTGGAGGTTGCAGTGAGCTGAGATCGGCCACTGCACTCCAGCCATGGTGACAGAGTGAGAATTTGTCTGAAAAAAATAGAAGATTTTTATTTTAAAAATGTTTTGTAGAGATGGTGTCATGCTATGTTGCCCAGGCTGGTCTGAAACGCCTAGCCTAAAGCTCCGGGATTATAGATGTGAGCCACTGTGCTTAGCCAGCACTATACTTGTATTCGTTGCCAAAGCTTGCTTTGTTCTGTATTTTCTAGTGCATGCTTGAGTGTGAGTGTATGTGTGTGTGAGCATGTGTGTAAACGTGTTTGTGTGTGTGTGTTCCCTTTACTCTTACCTTGCAGGGTTATTGCAAACGTCAAGTGGGATAATGCAGACACAGCGCTCAGCCCAGTGCCTGGTACATACTGTGAGTGCTCTCTTCCTTCCCCTTTTCTCCTCCTGATTCAGAAAATGAATTAAGGATCCGTGATGTGTTCCAATTTTCAATGCCCTTGATAAATAATAGGGAGTTGGAGTACCGTTGGCAGAAATTTGCACTAGTTTTAATTAATTTCATCTGTTTAGAGTAAGATATCTCAAAGTCACTGAATAAATTTATGTCACATATGTTTATGCACATCAGTATTTTTCTTGAGAGCTGACAGCCTTAGTCCTTGTTTTGTTCCCTAATGCTGCAGCAGAGGCCAAATGTGTCTTGATTTCTTGAGTGATGTCTGCCAGCTCTCCAAGTGTCACAGTAGGTGAGGCCTCCATGCCAGCAGGTGCCAAGGATGAGTGCAGCCAGTCAGCATCTGCAAGCCCATTTTGTCTATTCTCTTTGTTTTTGTAATACATTTTATTCTTAAGTTATGAATATGTTTATGTTTATTAATACATTTAATATAAGTTTATATTTGTAAATATAAACTCTACAAAGCATAAAGTTTATATGTATAAACTTTAAATATGTGTTGACGAATCCATATAAGTTTTTGTAACTTACATGGATAAGGCAAAACATGTAGAGTATAAAAAATATTAATGTTTTTACCCATTTTAACCCCACCCTCTGAAGTAAACATTATAACCAGCTTTGTGTGTATCCCTCTACATTTTTTATATACTACACATTTTCCCACATTTTTCCACTTATAAACATTTTCCTACTTTCTTTTTTACATGTGCAAATATATAAACATACACATTTACATGTAGGATACCCCTTTTAATTTTCTAAAGCAAAATAAGATCATATTCTGTACCTTGTGCCCTTCCTTCCTTCCTTCGTTCCTTCCTTTTTTCTTTCTTTTTCTCTCTTTCTCTCTCTCTTTCTCTTTCTTTCTCCCTTCCTTTCTCTCTCTCTCTTCCTTCCTTCCTTCCTTCCTTCTTTCTTTCTTTCTCTCTCTCTTTCTCTCTTTCCTTCCTTCCTTCTTTCTTTTCTTTTCTTTCCTTTCTTCCTTCCTTTCTTTCTTTCTTTCTTTCTTTCTTTCTTTCTTTCTTTCTTTCTTTCTTTCTTTCTTTCTTTCTTTCTTTCTTTCTTTCTTTCTTTCTTTCTTTCTTTCTTTTCCTTCCTTCCTTCCTTCCTTCCTTCCTTCC